ACCCACTGGGGCTGCCCCTTAGTAGGGAATCTGGGGTGGCTGGCAAGTGGCAGTTTTGGTCTGTAATAGCCAGAGTTCACTTTACAATAGTTCCCTGTGCTCTAGTTCCCATATCAGACCTGTGCCTCTCTAGGTTATGGACCATCTACAACCTTGACAGACATTAACACATTCTATTCCCCACTTACTAGGGACAATCTCACTTGTTTTTTAGAGGAGGAGGGAGATGGAGACTGGTTACAACAAATGTGTAAAGACACTCAACAAACTGACCAGATGCCATTGCCCAGATACATGTGTCTATAGAGAAGACTATGTAATGTAAAGATACACATCAAAGTTGAGTCAGGGTAGAAAGGTACCCAAAGCAAATCCAAGGAAATAACTCATTAGTCCTAGGCGGTGGTGACAAGGCTCTGTAAGATGATTTACAGTTTTTCCTTCTGCCCCAAAGATGACACTTGCAGCTCCAGATGAAGTGTGCTAAGGGCCAGCAACCATGCACCAATCACTTAGTGCCTTGGTGTCTGCCTCCCCAGCTGTAAAATGGAGTGAGGGCTAAAGAGATGGCTTAGCAGGTAAAGGCACTTGTCACCAACCCTGAGTCCCCAGGACCCATATGATGGAAGGAACAACTCCACTCCCAGTTTTCCTCTGACCTCCACATGAGTGCAGTGGCACATACATAAACACACACAAAAAATAAATGCTAACACACATATAAAATGGGGTGACTGCAGGGCTTACTTACACGACTGCTGCATGCCCTAAACAACAAGCATGTACAGACCAGAGGACGTGCTCAGAGACACATCAGATCTCTCATCAGAGTCACCTGGTGACCCCAGAAGAGACCATGGCAGGAAGATGAAGTGGTTGCAGGGACGCATGTCTATCTAGTGAAAACCTGTTGAACATACTGATCGCTTATGCATCTATCTGTTGGCATGGAAGGGAGGGAGGGAGGCCAAGAATTCCTGGCCCTGTGGAGGTGCAAGTAGGAGAAGGTGGCAGGAGGATCCAAAGTTCATGGTCATCCTTAGTTGGGGCTTGGTGGCACACACCTTTGATCTCAGCACTCAGGAGACAGGCAAGCAGAGCTTTGTGAGATAAAGGCCAGACTCTACATAGCAAGTTCCAGGCCAACTGGGGCAAAAGAGAGACCATTTCTCAAAAAGACCAAAGAACAGGGGCTAGAGGGTTGGCTCAGTGGTTAAGAGCACTGGGTGCTCTTGCAGAGGACCCAGGTTCAATTCCCAGCACCCATATGGCACCTAACAACTGCCTGTAACTCAAGTCCCAGGGAATCTGGCGCCCTCTTCTAACCTCCTCAGACACTGCATGAGTGCGCCTACATTCAGGCAACACACCCACACATATAAAATAAACACCCTCTTCTAGCCTCCTTGGACCCACAAATACATGCACATACTTGAAATAAATAAATAAATAAATAAATAAATAAATAAATAAATAAATAAATAAATAAATAATAGGGGTTGGGGATTTAGCTTGGGGGTAGAGCGCTTGCCTAGCAAGTGCAAGGCCCTGGGTTTGGTCCTCAGCTCCAAAAAATAAAATAAATTTTTTTTTAAAAAAATTTAAAAAAAATTAGAGTTCAAGGTCATCCTTGGCTATGCTGTGAGTTTAAGACCAATCTGGGCTACACAACACTTATCTTAAAAAACAAAGAAGGCTGGGTGTGGGAGGCAGAGGCAGGGAGACCACTGTGAATTTGAGGCCAGCCTAGTCTACATAGTGAGTTCCAGGCCAGCTGAGAGACCCTGTCTCAAAAGATCAAAAAAAAAAAAAAAA